GGAGCTCTCGCTGACCTGCCCTGGACTCCACGAGGTTGGTCAAAACAGTGAGGCCACCTCCGCAGACTCGAGGGGCATGTACAGAGAGCCTGCCGTACGCCCAGCACCCTCACCTGCTATTCTGTTTAAGCCGCACAGATCTTGGGAAGTAGGTGGTTTATCCCCATTATACAGATGGGGACATTGAGGCACCGGGCGGTTGAATGGCAGCCCAAGGTCACACAGGGAGCAGCCAGCCTGCCTGGATGAGGACTGTCCCTCCTCCTTTGCCGCACCAGGCCGGCCTGAGCTCGTCGGCTCCTTAGGGTCAGGGACCCCAGCCCGAGCGGTTCCCTGTCCCGTCTTGGGGTCTTGTTATGGGAGCAGCGGCTGCAGCCAGGCTGGTCCCCTCCCCCACGACCAGGAGCGAACTGTTAACCGGGTGTGGGTTAGAAGTTAACACTAGCAGCCCCGGGTGAGGGTCAGGGAGCGTGTCCTGCCTGGACATCAGGGTACGAAGGCCCCCCCCCGCCTCCCTCCCCACCCGCAGAGAAGGGAACAGGGTGACTGGACCCGAGCTCACAGTGTCTCAGCATGTGTGATCCTGCTTCCTGCGTCCAGTTCAGTGACTGCACCCCCTTCCTCCAGGCAGGCACTTGTGACACCCTCACTGCCCACCCCCTCGGGCTCAGAGAGGCCTGAGAAGGCGCCCAAGGTCACGCCCCTCAGGAACTCGGTTAATTCCTCGTGGGCGGGATGGTGCTGTGTGGACATACGTTGTAAAGCAGCGGTTCTCGACCTGTGGGTCGCGACCCCTTGGGGGCCGAACGACCCTTTCGCGGGGGTGAAGGCGCCCAAGGTCACGCCCCTCAGACCTGAGTCCAGGTCCCCCGACTCCGAGCCCGTGGCCTGCTCTGCTCTCCTGCCCTGCCACCCCCGCTTCACAGACGGCGAAGGTGAAGCGAGTCGAGAGGAGAAGGCGGCAAATAGCAAAGCCAGGGCCCGACACGGGTCGGTCGGGCCAGAGAGGCCCCGCTTTGGGTTCTTGTTGCGGTAAAACTGGTGTATAAGACAACCGTGGGCAAACTACGGCCCGCGGGCCGGATCCAGCCCGTTTGAAATGAATAAAACTAAAAAAAATG